TATCCGAACAACCCCAGTCCCCAATTGATTCGGATAAACAACGCTCTACTGTATTCAAATAGTGTAAATTTGAAAATATCATAACAGATTACACTACACATGCACTTTTAAATGTTGCCAGGAAAGTTAAGCAACTTATTGCTGGATTTTTTATTCATGCAATACTAGGGTTAACATAATAGTTGAGGGCAAAATATGAACAGATTAGCATTAAAAGTACTCAGATAGCAAGGCAAAATAAAAGGAATTTATTCATATTTTTTTAATCTAGTAAATGTAAGCATATATAATATAAAGTTTCAATATACACTTTCCTTTGGGGCACAAAATGCAATTTTAAATATAAGAAAACTATTTTACCTTTTAGATAACAAGTACTATTAAATTAAAAAACTGTTGTAATAAATGTTTATGCGCTTGTGTTTTAAGCAACAGAGCCATTACATATGCTTATGCAATATTTCCACCTAGTTAACAAATACAAAAATAATTTTCAAAAATTTAACACCTTTTGTTAGATATAATTCTAAATGGTTATAATTTAACTATTAACTGTGCAATCAGTTGAAAAGTATGGACATTTTATTTATTTTTTCTAAGTACAGTACAAACAAGGACAGAGCCTTTAAAGTACAGACTGCCCATACTAAATACAGATGTATTGTAACCCTAATAATACAATTTATAATAAGTGATTGAAAACTGTTTATGTGGGATATAATATAAGAATTAAAAATTAATAATTTCTTTCAATTTTACTTGTAAAATTATTGGGTTATTTTTAAAAATGTGATCATGTAGAATAATTATGAAAATTTAGTTTTATTTACGTTATTAATAAAAATTTATGTTTGATCTTGTCTGTTAAAAAATTTTTGATTGGGTCTTTATTGACAAGACTATGTCTTGTCAATAAAGTTGTTGTAAATCGTACTGCCACCCATTCTTACCAGCATAGAGGTATGAAGGAGTATATGTCAAGAGTTGATATTTGGCACAGAGTATTAGGTGCCCAAATCATTTGCTCATAAAAATATCCAGACCCGTAGGTAGTCAGGGGAACGAGAATCGAGTCAAAATAAAGTACAAAATGGCGACCCTCTTCTACAAACAGGCAAAACAGCCACCTCACCCCACTGAAGTCAATTAGGGGAGAGTACCACCCACAGTCATTCTAAAAAGTGGGACTGAACACTTAGTTTCTTCTAGGTTAAATAAAATTTGTAATCTAATTTTGTAAATTTGGGAGTGCTTCAAATATGACGTTAAAATGGTTTTATGTCCTTAAAAGTGGGCTTTTTTTAATGTTATCTAGTATAGTAAAATTGTAGGATCGATAAAAATTTGACGTTATATTAGGGTTGTTGTTACATTCGATGACATTATAATCAGAGTAAACTATATTGTTTGTGCAAAATAAAAAATAATTTTGGACGATACAATAGCCACAATTATTTTTTTCAAAAACAGGAACTTTTTATTATGCATCGACAAAAATTCAACCCAGGCTGACATGCAACAGAGAGAAATTTTGAAATTAGATAGGTTAATTTCATCGAAGATGCATCATGGACGATCTTGTGGTTGTGGCTGGCGAAGTTTGAACGATCGCACCCAAAAGCAGCGATATCAAAGAAGATAGGAGAATGAGAACGAGACCTGCCTTGAGCATCAAAGTGATTTCGTCTCCGAGACATAGTCTTGTCCCAAATACGGTTTTGCCGTTTTACTTGTTTCTATATAAAACCAACAGAAACTGTTGGTTCAATAAATTCTATTAGTCCAGCAGGCTCTATTGAGTCTAAATTTCCAAGTAAAAACCAATACAATATGTTTACTAGATAACAAGTGTATTGAGTCCAAGTTACAACCTAGGCATCATTTAGCTAATTTATTATTTTTAACTACAAGCAATTGATTGAAGTAGATAACAATACTTTTGAAGTATTTTTAATATCAGTAAATGTTCATATAGTAAATTAATCTATAAATTACAGAAACGTTAAAAATATCATATTTATTAAGTATCAAAATATTTATATACAATTAGTTCATTATTTTTTTATCTAAAGTTTTACTAATATCAACTATTTTTTTCACCTATTCTAAAATTTTATCTGACTTATTTATTGTACAGTATAGTAATGTTGCTAAGACAAGAGTTTGCTTCTTACAACAAACATGATTTCAATAAAATAAAAAATATAACATATAAGAAACAGACAAATGTAAAACAATACATAGATATCATAATGATAAAATTCACATGAAATAAAACATTAAAAGCATGCAAAAAGTGTAAAAGGAAATCAATAAAAACAGTTTAAAAAATATAGAAAAAAAAACATTGATCATCATTTATCTAAGTTTAAAGATTTTTTACATATACAGTATTTTTAAAAATGATAAAATTAGAATAACAAAAATCCTTAATGGCAGATAAAGACAAAATAGCACAATGGTAATTAGTAAATTCAATACATGAAGTGTTGCAACTTGACTAGGTATGCAATGTGAAAAGGTGCAAGAGTTAATATTACCATTGAATTATTTGTAAAATAAAATGTGATTGAATAAATAATGCAGTGACTAAAAACTGGAAAACTGAGTCTAACACAAGTAACTTTAATTGAATCAGTGACAGAAAAATGGCTTAGCATGTTAAAAAGTAAGTAGACCTTATTACACTCAAAGGAAACTTTATGTAAAGAGGAAGCAGCTGATGCCTATGTGGCAATAGTCAATGACAGATTGGAAATTGGCAAAAATAAATGTCTAATGCAGTGATTCTCAACCTTTTTTTTGTCACAGTACACTTTTAATAATTTAAAATTTTGATGGTACACTAACAATAAGATAAATTTAAAAGAATTTTACTTGGTTAATTGAGAGATGTACCTATAATATATTTTGTAAAAATAGCATATGATAGTAATTTTCAATGAAATGTAAAATGAAATTACATTACAAAGTAAACAAAATCTTGTTTTATTTTCTCTAAATTTTTAAAATCATGGCCACATTCGAAACATGATAAAATGTGCCCACCATCTTGTAATTTAATAGAACTGCTGTAACTGCTTTGTCACTGTGGTTACTTTGGTAAGTACTGCAGGACAACTGGTGATGTCATAACAGTGATTTTTAAATGCGGTTGGTTATTTAGGTCACATTTTCTAAACGCCTTGGTAACTACTGGCAGTTACTGGTAACACCAGTTACAATTTCCAAACATGCCCTAGGAAGGTAGAACCAATTGAACAACTTGTCTTACATTACTTAATGTATGGGTATTTGCACTGGCAGCATACTTCAAAAATCTCATGTGTGGTTGCGAATCACTGGTTTAAGGACTGATCTTGAAGAGATTAGGAGACAATGGAACAATAAAATGCCTTTACAGATTGCAAGAACTTTTGGAAATGTAATAATATTTAAATATGAGTTCTTCATCCACTTAACCATCATCCTCAGTCCATATTGTTCATCTAAGATAATAGCTAAAACATTGTCTGTATGTAGTTGATGATGTATTGATTTATAAAAAGAAATTGAAGAAACAGGCTTTGAAGAAAAGAAAAATACATTGCAACAGTTTTAACAGATTGATTTGATTGAACAATTCTAGCAACCAAACTAAAATTTTGAAGTCTTGCTGTAAAACAGATGGGTCAGAATTTAGGAGTTTTAAATTATCAATGTAAGTGAAAATATTACAGTTTAAACAAGGCATAATGAAATCAAGAAAAGCAACAAAATATATATAAATAACTATTTAATATAAATCTCTATGAAATATCTCATACTAAAGTAAAATCTCCCAAAGAAAAGTCTTTGAACTTAACCATAAGATAATTGCCATAAGATAATTGAAGAAGGTACATCAAAATGATAAGTATAAATACCCAAAAGAAGAGAAGAAATAATTGAATCCAAAACTTGTGAAATATCAATTTGCAAAATGTATGTGGATTTCCTGTCTTCTAAAATATTTAGTATTGATGATTGAGTTGCAAGTAAGTTATGGTTGATTGATGATGTATGCCACAATGCTAGAAGGGTTTCAATCAGATACAAGGGGATTATATATATAATCAAATATGCTCAGAAATTTTGCTGTTAAAATTAGTATCTAAATTCAATAAGAAAATGTAATTGCTTTAAATTTAAATATGAAAATCTTTAAAAAACATCATTTACATGAAAGCAAAGTATTTGAAGTTATAATATATAAATATGGTTCTAATCTATTTTAAAAATGATTTTCCAACTATGGTAGTTGACTATAATTTTGTCAAGAGGACAAATTATGACATCAATCTGAGGATACTGCTTTAAATTAAGTTTTATTTATATGAACATGAAGTTTTAGAATGGGAACCTTGAAACATAACACACCATAAGTTCAAATCTAATAACTTCTTACAACAAACATAAAAACCATCAACTTTTCACTGTAAACCATCAATGATGGTTTACAGTGAAAAACTTGTAATTCAAAATTTGCAACATTTCAAAATAAGTGAAAAAAAACAATAAAAAATTCTGGGTTTAGACAATTAAAATGTTTGATGGTTTAAACAGATTGGCTTTAACAATTTTTCAGTGTAAAGCATGTCTGTTTTCTGATTTTAAGGAGTAAACTTTCATGATATACAAGGTTTTCATTCTAGGCTATCAATATACAATGTCATATTAAAAGTTCTACTTTTATTTAGCCAATCCACAAATATATAAATATATTTGTTATCTAATAAAAATTAGTTATGAAATTATACTAGTTTTCATATACCAATATCATATGTACTAATAAAATGTTTTAATAGTATCTATTGGTTTGATCATTCCAATAAAAACAAACAGAATATCAATGAAAATTGTTGTTGTATTTTTTTTTAATGGGTCTTCATAAAAGTAATGTGATATCTTTATAACTAAAGTTATAAAGTTAAAAATGTAAAAATTAAACAAGTTGATATATTTTACTGAAAATAGAGCACAATATATTAAATGATATCATAACTTAATCAACAAACACAATTCTTTTAACTATCTTAAAATTAAGGAAAATGGAAATGTAGAAGAAATAGGGAAGGATAAGGAAAAGAATAGAAATACCTGGGGTTTTCGTAGCGACGTGCTCTTGGGTAGGACACAACTTTGGATCTCCCTCTTATTTGTGACCCTTTTCTTATCGTAGACCTTTTGTCTATTTTTTCTTTACTTCATCGTCTTTTCTCAAGGTTTTCTGTCCGTAGTCTTTTTCTCTTTTATCCTTCGGCAACTCGCAGTCTCTGATTGTCCTTCTTGAGTTCTGGAGCAAACAAATAATTTTTATTTCATTTGACCATGTTGTACTCTATTTTCAGTAAATATATCAGTCTTGTTTAATTTTTATATTTTTTTGAAAAAGTTCCAAATGATTTGGAAAACAACAAATTCATTAAATCCCTATTTAATATAATCTTTTGACTATTTAAAAAATTTTCTTTTATAAAATTTATTATTATTAATTTTTTAATATATTAATTGTGTATAATTTTGTATGTATTCTTTAGACAAGAGAGCATTCTTTCTTGTTTCGACTTCTGATCAGCATGCAATTTATGAATTTGCTGCTGCTTCTGTAAGTGAAAGAAGGATGTAAGTAAAACATTTTTTAAAAGTTTCTTAATGTTTATATATACATTCTGTAAAAAAGTTGTATAATGTTCCATATTTTGTCAAAGTTTGTAATTTTGTAATAAGGTATAATTTATTTTAAAAATTATAATAAAAACAAATTTTATTCTGTTTAGTTCTATAAAATTAATCTTAGATATTTTAAAATATTTTAATCTGCTTAATTATCTGTTGTTAACTGAATAATAATTTAGGAAGATCATTAAATTATATTTGATATCATTACATTTGTGATGAGTTACATTCATAATATGAATGTAACATAGTTACATTCATAATATGATAACATAGTTACATTCATATATGAGTTACATTCATAATATGAATGTAACTCATCACAATTTAGTATTATTAATTGTAATTATATTAAATTGTAATTGCTATATTTGTATTTTTAATTAATTTGTGGCAAATTTTCAGTAAAAATGCTTCGGTTATAATTGTTATAAAATATCTTACTCAAGTATCATTGTATTATTTATTTAAAAATTAATTTTATAATTTTAACAGTAAAAAATTTTTACTTATTCTTAAAAAATTTACTTTCAAATAAATTTTTGTATTTCTTTAGATGGTTAAGACATATCACAGAGGCAATTGACATGTCCAAGTCATCAATTAATCAAACACATCTTCCAGATTATACATCACCTCAGATAAATAAATTAGCATGTCCAGAAAGTAGTTTGGAAGATATAGAAACAAATACAAATACAGAGTAAGTTATTGTTGCAATGACTATTTTAATAAAAATTGAATGAATATTATGAAATAAAATATAATCTCTAAAATTAAAATTATAACTCAAAGTTTTGCCATTTTACAAGTTTGTTTAATAAAATAAGCTGTTATTTCTAGGAGTAAGTTTGGAAATCAAAAATTCTTTTTGGATTTCCTTGACTTCAACTTCAGAGAGAATTCAAAATTAACTTCAAAGAAAAACTTCTTTGAAGTTAATTTTGGCCTTTTTATTTTTTAAAGTTTGTTCTCACTTGTTTTTACTTCCTTTCAAATTGTTCATTTTGAATTCTGTCTGAAACTGAAACCAAGTAATTTCAGAAATATTAATGTTTTCAATAAATTTTAATTTTTAAAATTAAGATGTACATTATTTATTAGCTTATAATAAAATTTATTTGTGATGTAACTTTATACTGAGAAAAAATAAGTTAGCTTTATTAGTTTTTATCATTATTTATTGAATCTTTACTTTAGCATTCTGAAACAAGCATTCTAATTGTTTCTGCCAGATAAATGATATCATTGAGCAAAGCATAAGCAGAGCTCTTCATAAGTTTAAGTGTTTTCTGTCATTGAAGTCCAAAGCAACTGCATGACCAATAAACATGATTTTTTACCAATATGTACAAATTGACAAGGCCAATGTTGTGACAAAAAGTTGGAATTTTGAAATTTGACGTATGGACTGAGATACTTGAAGTCATAGTTTTCCATGTAAACTCTATGGGTTTAAAACAACTGCACAACCAATAAACATGAGTTTTTACAAATATAGTCTCTTCTGAAATAATAGAGCCACTGTGAAATAACGATCTTATAGTAATAAAGGAATAAGAAATGCATTGTGAAACTGATTCCCATGAAGACACAAAGCATTTTAATGTCACTACTCAATAAATATAACACTTCATAATTAACATGTAATCAATCACCCTTTGGCCCAATTGATCTAACTGGCCCTGATTTCCTGTAATTTTGCTATAAAAACATATATTTTTTTCTCTTTCTATTCTTTTGCAAAGAACATTAGAAAGCAATTGAAGGAAATTCATTATTGATTATTATAATATTGTATAATAATAAGAATAATAATACTTTTATCATAAAACAGTAATAAAATAAAAATATAAATGACTTTTAACAATGTCATATAGGATATACTTGTTCCAAAATGATAGAGGCATCTCTGCTTCAGGATTTAAATTGCAATTAATATACAATATAGTGTGGCTGTCAGCCATGATATATTAATATATTTTGTATATTTTATTTTGAATTAATCCTAGCCTTCCTTCCTGTGTCTTTGTTATGAATTCCTTCTAGAACTTTCTTGTCTAACCCTTTTGCCCTTGGGTAGGATTGTCTTTTCCACAAAAATAAGAACAAAAGAGGGAATGGAGCCCTTAGGCCAAACAAACAGAAAAAGAGTCAGTCTGGGTGAGAATCTGGAAAAGGTAGGCAGGAAAAAGGCAGTGCTCCAGAACTTAACAAGGACGATCGGAGACTGCAAGTTGCCGAGGGATGAAAGAGAAAAGACTATGGACAGAAAACCTTGAGAAAAGACAACGAAGTAAAGAAAAAATAGACAAAAGTCTACGACAAGAAAGGGTCACAAATAAGAGGGAGATCCAAAGTTGTGTCCTACCCAAGAGCACATTGTTACAAAAACCCAGGTTTCTATTCTTTTCCTTATCTTTCCCTATTTCTTCTACGTTTCCATTTTCCTTAATTTTAAGATAGTTATAAGTTTAAGTTAGTATAAGTTAATATGACCAGCGTCTGACTGTCACACGTGTGTGAATTAACTATTTGGAGGACAAATAGTTAATTCACACATGCCCCTATGTATATAAAATTCATAAAGTTGTAAAGTTGGGATCCAATGTAAAGAACCCGTTTGGAGAGCATTAAAATACTTTGTGCTGTAAATAGTATTAACTTTTTTGTTGTAGAATTTTGCTCACAGAATTAAGTACCTCTCATTACGAACATCACAATAGCAAACAGTATATTATAAAATACAAAACAGTACTAGATAGGGAGTGAATTTCTACAAAATATAGTCCTGGAATACATGATAAATTGAAGGGTTTTTTATAGAAAGAGGAAAATTTGTCATTTTGTGGCAAATTACATCAATTTTAGTGGAGAATATGGAAGAAAATTCCATCTGGAAGATGCCCTGCACTGAATTCCTGTCAAAAATACTAATTTTCAGAAAACTTGAAATTCTGCAATAAGTCTGGTACAAATTGCAACTCATCTAGCCATAAATGTGTCAAAATCAACAGTATACAGAGTTGTCTAATCATCTACAGAAAAAGAATATGAAACAAATTCTTCCTCTAAATAAGAGCCACAAAGAAGGCCTTTGTTGTATGCAGAATTAGTAATGGGAGTTCTCTTCTTGAAAAATTTGGGGACCCCTGCTTTAGAATATCAGCAATTACTACATATGAGATATGCATCTAGTGCCATTTGCAGAGGGAAATTTTTCCAGTTTCAACAATCTAATGAACCCCATCACATTGCAAAATCAACTTTGGATTGGTTTTTGGCAAATGGTGTTCATGTTATAGGCTCCCTGCCTATAATTTTGTGCTACTGATGGAGACCTCTTGTGGTAAAATAGTGAACTTTGTAGCTACAAACAACAGAGTTATGACTGAGCTAATATGGCAAAATTGGTGAATTTTCTTCTGGAATAAAGAAATGAAATATTTGTAGCATGTAATAAGTTTTACAGTAATACCATAGGAGTAGTTTGTTTTTATTTTTTCCAAATGAAAAAGATGCAGTTAGAAGAAACGCATGGATTAATGCTGTACTTTCATTTGTCCATCTTTATTAATAATAAAAGGTTTCCTAAGGTTGAATGAATATTTTATTTCCAATAAACAATAATGTCTGTCACCGTCTCTGATAATGCCATCTGGAGTACAGCATAGCCATGGCATTGCTGGGCAATACACATATGATTAGATATTATCTAAAGAGTTTTCCATCAGTATAGTGTATTTGGATCAGCTGGATATATGTGTTGGTTTGTTTTTCTATCTTTTTCTTGTTCAAAAATTGTGGCTAAGCCTTCTTGCTTGTTTGTATTCATTTCTAAAGTTGCTGGTTTATTCAAAGCTTGTGGTAAGCTTGTTCTTGGTTCTATTTTTTCTTCTCTACTGATAAAAAAGTAAGACATGCTGCATGTTTGCAACTACCAAGAAGTCCTGCCTGCATGAGCAAAATGCATTAACCATTTTCCATTGGTCATCAAGCTGGAAAAAATCATTTACTTACATTAAGTTAATATGTTTACGTTAATTTTTTTATCAGTTCTCTTATGTCGTATGTTGATGGCAGCAAATCTTGCATGTACTTTTTCTTTTGCAATAAACATTAATGAGATTTTAAAAATGTTTGCATTAATATTTTTATTTTTACTATAAAACATACATATTTATAAAAATGTATTGGTACAAATACATTTTTATAAAATTAAATTTTAATGACATTTTAAAAAAATGATCAAAGAAATGTAATATAGATGATTAACTTTCCATTACAAGTAATTTGCCCAAAGGAATTTGTTAGCTAGATTTAGGTACCTATATATGCATTTGTGGAATACATTAACCAAAAGCTGTTTATTTTTGAATATTTTGAGTGACTTTATGAAAATGGCCTGTTTATTTCAATTTTTTCTCTGTCTAATAGATTTGAAGGATTGAGGATATAAATGGATTTGAAGGATTCCGGGATTATTTTTTTGTAGAAAAAAAATAATCCTCAAAAGTAACAGGAAATAAAATTATTACTTAAAACTATGTTCATTGCACCTATCGAGAGAACAGCATCAACATCAATACCCAATGCTGATACTGTTACTGATGCTTTAAACCTACTCATGATACCGATACTGGTATTGATACTTTTGTGGTATTGGGACATCTCTAATTCTAAATATTAGCTTTATATTTTTTTCTTTCAGGTTACCTTCACCATATGATAAAACATTAGAAAAGAATACTAATGAAAATAATTCCAAAGAATCAGAAGAAACAAAACTATTAGGACCAGAGAAAAAAGAAGAAACAATTCCCAAAGTACCTCCTCCATCAGAAAATGGTGAACCAAAAAAACAAAGACGTTTACAGCGGGTAGAAATTTTAAAAATTGCAGATGGTCCAGAATTAATAGCACCTAGTGAAGTAATTGTGAGGCAAGGAGCTGCATATCAAACTGCTGAACCAGTTTTAACACCTATTGGTAAAATAAAATTGTTATTCAATTTTCGTGTAAAGCAGGATCAAATAAAGCCCAGAAAAATAATTTTATTATACATTTGACAAAAACAAAAGCACAGAACATTTATATTTTTTAACATAGTTTCCTATGTCCATAACACTTTATCCACCATTCAATCCCATGAGAAAAACTTAGTTGATTGTGTTTTGCTGAATCTTTCAGTCTGATTGGCAATTGTTGTAGTGGTTATCTTTACTTTGTGAAGACAAGTATTGGAACAAAAATTCTTGTGCCTACAGATCTCTTTTTCTTACAATGGCAAGTTTCAGAGATGCAGAATTGTTATTCTATGATGTATTAGGTGTTAGCAGTAACAAATCCAGAAATTTTTAGAGTTGGTGCAGAAAGGAAACAACATGCCTTATGGAATGAAATTTTTTACTGAGTTGAGGTTCCTGGCTTTACTTGGGAAAAATCTCCACAAGGGAGTAAAATTGTGCCTTGCACACTCCCTTAAATCTACTCTTGGAACTTACTGTTAATTCAAAACAATTATAAGCCAAAATTGCTTCATTATTATCTCAGAAGACAATGCTGTTTTCTAAGGGTTTTTGTGCTTGAAATGTTTTTGACTTGGAGAGACAAATTCTGCTATTTCTTGCTGGTTTTCTTTGATAATACATACTTGCCAACCTTAGAATAAAGATGAAGTTGACCTGATAGCTAGGAATGGCTGATTTTGGAAGGCAAAGGCCAAGAAATAAAAACACAATTTGTAGAAAGATTGCAGATAAAACTTGCACTACTTTTAAGAATTTATTTAAACTTCACAACCTAAGTTTGTAGATGGTTCTAAATTATTTAATAAATTATTAAAAATTAGCTGTGTTACCCATTGTTGATAGGAGGTATTTATTTGTGAAATTATATTTATTTACCTAAAGAGTATATCTGCAGAGAATTGTGTTACAGATTCATTATATTCTTATTAAAGGTGTGGAATATTTTCTAGATAAACTTATTGAATAACCTCCAATATACAACATTTCGTGCTTTAACATTAGGAGCACAAATGAACAGATTTGCAGCTACTAACACGTGAGTATGCAACATAGAGTTGGTCATGTGAAAAGCAACTGCATCCCAGGTCAAGTCCCACAACTCTTGGTTTTGGCCTTGAGACTGGTTAAGGTCATAGCAAAGCATAGACCAACTGGAAATTGTAGGCATTTATATTCGAATGGGTAGTTTGTCAGGATTAATGGTATGCTATTGATTAATTAATTGATATATCTGTCCTGATATATAACAATTTTCAATGTTGACATGAAATTTCTTTTAAGTATTTCAGTGGCACCAAAACTTGTCATTTGGAAGGCCCTATTGTGCTTTAAAAAATGTTTAGTGTTAGGATGAGTCCCATTTAATAGTGATAGAAAAAGTTCGGGACAAGTACAACATTCAGTTTAACTTTGCCAGAAGAGCAGCAAATCCCCTGTGATTCATTCTTCCATTCAGAGCACTGCAATACCCACATACTTTATCTATAGACCCAATATTAGCTGCTGACGAACAGTCTAAGAGAGTCATAAATGAAAGCACTTCAGAGTTTTTTGTGCCAAGGATTTGTTGTTTTTGAGTAGGCATAACCTTCACTCACACAAATAAATTAAATTCATGCACATCACGAACACAATATGTAACAATTCCAAAACCCACCATATGTATGTACTGTACACATACTGCCATCTAGCATGATGACGTCACATTTTTAATGTCTTGAAGATTTTGCTAATTAACTAATTATAATTTAATGTCAGTTCGTCAAATATAGTAGTAAACTTCAATAATACACTTTTCTTATAGATAAATGCCTTGACAGGAAGTACTAATTCATGTGTCACCATCTAGTGAAGAGAGAGACAAATAGACAGACAAGAAATTTATTGGTTTTATTTAATTAATAAAACTGTAGGTTTGATTAGTGGTAAACATTCCATAAATCATAAAGATGCTACAGTTAAAATTTGGTAATGATTGGTTCAGTAGTTTTTGCAGTTAGTTGGAACAAATGAAAAATATGTTGTCTCTTTAAATAGCAGTATAGATTATAATTAATTTTAAAAAACTATAATTTAGGTAAGAGATGGTGCCTAACGTACCTCTAGTACCAAATTACTTAGTATCTAATCATTAATAATAGTGGATTTATAGCTTGATTGTTTAAGGTGATTGTCTGGTTGAGTATTTTTCTATTGAATAATGTTTATCTTTTTTATCGTAGTAACTCCATCATTTCTGGCAAATTGCTATATATTAGTGCTTTATTTTAGGTAGGTTTCAAAACCCCCATGCATGACACTTATGGAATCTGGAATGCTTATTTATAATAATGGGCATTTAACTATAATTCATATTCAACTCAGAAAGCAAATCTTACAATGTTATGTGCCTGTTTTTCCTTATGATTAGCTATATCATACTTGTCAATTTCTCTGTGACAACATTAGCTTGTCTTGTCTGTGAAGCATCACTTTTATTTTGATGCCATTATTGAATTTATATGATGGCTCATCCATTTGACTCCTACTTAAACATGCACAACCAACAGCTGCAGACATTATCCTATGAATGTTAACTGGTATGATACCTTCAACATTAAAAAACTTTTATGACAGACCATGTCGTCTCTTTTGTGTATGGCTCTGCAGCAAAACTGTTTGAAGCCACTTTTGAAATACAATCATCTACATTGACATTGGCAATGGAACTACACAAGCAACAACACACATCATAACACAGAATGGTACACAGAAAATTGATATAATTGGCTGAGGCATAAACAATAAATTCATTTTATTTGATCCTTCTTCATATTTTTTTCATTATGCTATGTAAGTCATTTTAATCATATGAAATATTTCCATTCCATAAGAAATTACAATATTTAAAAAATTTTAAAGTGTTGCCCATAGGCTCTAAAATATGTGCCATTCCTATATAAATTTATTTTTTTATTTAAAAATTAGTATGAACTTAAATTAAGTCATTAAAATTTTACAGTTATTTATTATAAATGTGCATACACAAAAGCAAATTACACATTAAATATTTTGTTGTATACGTTCAGAAAAATAAAAAATATTTTTATATGTTCTTTAAATAAACCATTTATTTATAAATACGTTTGAATGAATTTTTCAGAACAACTGAGACGAAAAGAACAACAAATTGGTATTTATTTGTGAAATTATATTTATTTACCTAAAGAGTATATCTGCAGAGAATTGTGTTACAGATTCATTATATTCTTATTAAAGGTGTGGAATATTTTCTAGATAAACTTATTGAATAACCTCCAATATACAACATTTCGTGCTTTAACATTAGGAGCACAAATGAACAGATTTGCAGCTACTAACACGTGAGTATGCAACATAGAGTTGGTCATGTGAAAAGCAACTGCATCCCAGGTCAAGTCCCACAACTCTTGGTTTTGGCCTTGAGACTGGTTAAGGTCATAGCAAAGCATAGACCAACTGGAAATTGTAGGCATTTATATTCGAATGGGTAGTTTGTCAGGATTAATGGTATGCTATTGATTAATTAATTGATATATCTGTCCTGATATATAACAATTTTCAATGTTGACATGAAATTTCTTTTAAGTATTTCAGTGGCACCAAAACTTGTCATTTGGAAGGCCCTATTGTGCTTTAAAAAATGTTTAGTGTTAGGATGAGTCCCATTTAATAGTGATAGAAAAAGTTCGGGACAAGTACAACATTCAGTTTAACTTTGCCAGAAGAGCAGCAAATCCCCTGTGATTCATTCTTCCATTCAGAGCACTGCAATACCCACATACTTTATCTATAGACCCAATATTAGCTGCTGACGAACAGTCTAAGAGAGTCATAAATGAAAGCACTTCAGAGTTTTTTGTGCCAAGGATTTGTTGTTTTTGAGTAGGCATAACCTTCACTCACACAAATAAATTAAATTCATGCACATCACGAACACAATATGTAACAATTCCAAAACCCACCATATGTATGTACTGTACACATACTGCCATCTAGCATGATGACGTCACATTTTTAATGTCTTGAAGATTTTGCTAATTAACTAATTATAATTTAATGTCAGTTCGTCAAATATAGTAGTAAACTTCAATAATACACTTTTCTTATAGATAAATGCCTTGACAGGAAGTACTAATTCATGTGTCACCATCTAGTGAAGAGAGAGACAAATAGACAGACAAGAAATTTATTGGTTTTATTTAATTAATAAAACTGTAGGTTTGATTAGTGGTAAACATTCCATAAATCATAAAGATGCTACAGTTAAAATTTGGTAATGATTGGTTCAGTAGTTTTTGCAGTTAGTTGGAACAAATGAAAAATATGTTGTCTCTTTAAATAGCAGTATAGATTATAATTAATTTTAAAAAACTATAATTTAGGTAAGAGATGGTGCCTAACGTACCTCTAGTACCAAATTACTTAGTATCTAATCATTAATAATAGTGGATTTATAGCTTGATTGTTTAAGGTGATTGTCTGGTTGAGTATTTTTCTATTGAATAATGTTTATCTTTTTTATCGTAGTAACTCCACTTTTATTTAGCCAATCCACAAATATATAAATATATTTGTTATCTAATAAAAATTAGTTATGAAATTATACTAGTTTTCATATACCAATATCATATGTACTAATAAAATGTTTTAATAGTATCTATTGGTTTGATCATTCCAATAAAAACAAACAGAATATCAATGAAAATTGTTGTTGTATTTTTTTTTAATGGGTCTTCATAAAAGTAATGTGATATCTTTATAACTAAAGTTATAAAGTTAAAAATGTAAAAATTAAACAAGTTGATATATTTTACTGAAAATAGAGCACAATATATTAAATGATATCATAACTTAATCAACAAACACAATTCTTTTAACTATCTTAAAATTAAGGAAAATGGAAATGTAGAAGAAATAGGGAAGGATAAGGAAAAGAATAGAAATACCTGGGGTTTTCGTAGCGACGTGCTCTTGGGTAGGACACAACTTTGGATCTCCCTCTTATTTGTGACCCTTTTCTTATCGTAGACCTTTTGTCTATTTTTTCTTTACTTCATCGTCTTTTCTCAAGGTTTTCTGTCCGTAGTCTTTTTCTCTTTTATCCTTCGGCAACTCGCAGTCTCTGATTGTCCTTCTTGAGTTCTGGAGCAAACAAATAATTTTTATTTCATTTGACCATGTTGTACTCTATTTTCAGTAAATATATCAGTCTTGTTTAATTTTTATATTTTTTTGAAAAAGTTCCAAATGATTTGGAAAACAACAAATTCATTAAATCCCTATTTAATATAATCTTTTGACTATTTAAAAAATTTTCTTTTATAAAATTTATTATTATTAATTTTTTAATATATTAATTGTGTATAATTTTGTATGTATTCTTTAGACAAGAGAGCATTCTTTCTTGTTTCGACTTCTGATCAGCATGCAATTTATGAATTTGCTGCTGCTTCTGTAAGTGAAAGAAGGATGTAAGTAAAACATTTTTTAAAAGTTTCTTAATGTTTATATATACATTCTGTAAAAAAGTTGTATAATGTTCCATATTTTGTCAAAGTTTGTAATTTTGTAATAAGGTATAATTTATTTTAAAAATTATAATAAAAACAAATTTTATTCTGTTTAGTTCTATAAAATTAATCTTAGATATTTTAAAATATTTTAATCTGCTTAATTATCTGTTGTTAACTGAATAATAATTTAGGAAGATCATTAAATTATATTTGATATCATTACATTTGTGATGAGTTACATTCATAATATGAATGTAACATAGTTACATTCATAATATGATAACATAGTTACATTCATATATGAGTTACATTCATAATATGAATGTAACTCATCACAATTTAGTATTATTAATTGTAATTATATTAAATTGTAATTGCTATATTTGTATTTTTAATTAATTTGTGGCAAATTTTCAGTAAAAATGCTTCGGTTATAATTGTTATAAAATATCTTACTCAAGTATCATTGTATTATTTATTTAAAAATTAATTTTATAATTTTAACAGTAAAAAATTTTTACTTATTCTTAAAAAATTTACTTTCAAATAAATTTTTGTATTTCTTTAGATGGTTAAGACATATCACAGAGGCAATTGACATGTCCAAGTCATCAATTAATCAAACACATCTTCCAGATTATACATCACCTCAGATAAATAAATTAGCATGTCCAGAAAGTAGTTTGGAAGATATAGAAACAAATACAAATACAGAGTAAGTTATTGTTGCAATGACTATTTTAATAAAAATTGAATGAATATTATGAAATAAAATATAATCTCTAAAATTAAAATTATAACTCAAAGTTTTGCCATTTTACAAGTTTGTTTAATAAAATAAGCTGTTATTTCTAGGAGTAAGTTTGGAAATCAAAAATTCTTTTTGGATTTCCTTGACTTCAACTTCAGAGAGAATTCAAAATTAACTTCAAAGAAAAACTTCTTTGAAGTTAATTTTGGCCTTTTTATTTTTTAAAGTTTGTTCTCACTTGTTTTTACTTCCTTTCAAATTGTTCATTTTGAATTCTGTCTGAAACTGAAACCAAGTAATTTCAGAAATATTAATGTTTTCAATAAATTTTAATTTTTAAAATTAAGATGTACATTATTTATTAGCTTATAATAAAATTTATTTGTGATGTAACTTTATACTGAGAAAAAATAAGTTAGCTTTATTAGTTNGCCACAGCACTGGCGAAAATTTAAATTTGCCGACTGGAATTCTTTCGGATGATTGACTTTCGGAAAATCGACGCTCTACTGTATTTTTATAGTATTTCATAATTAAATTTATCAAGACATAGTGCTCAATGCCTATCTTTAGGCCAAATTACTTGACATTTATTTATTAATAGTATCCAAAAGTAATCTAGAAATTTTGTTTGACAGTACTACTTATTAACTTATAAATGTAAAAATGATACAATATAAAACAATGCATATTAATTTCAAAGATATTTCTTTTAATATGTTAAAAAAAGAAAATATAAAACATATTAAAGTTTAAAAATTGTATTTTCCTTAATTGAATATTAATGAAATGCGTAGTGAGAGTATGGTCAATGTTCTTGATCAGAAGTTTGGAACTTTGACCAATTGACACTTTAAAAATTTCTTGTTTTTAACATTAGTTATTAAATCACTAATAATTAAATGTAGCATGAGACTTTATATAGATTTTATAGATCAGATAAATTTAAGAACACTGTCTATCATCATTAATAAACTTTAATAAGTAGAACACAAATACAAAAAATATTTTTAAAAATTTATTACAAATTCATTTTCTTTTTACCTGAAGAAAACATTCAACAAATGTCAAAAGTACATGTATAATTTTTATATTTTTTAGGCTGCAATTTGAAAAAATTATAGACCTATAAAATACCTACTGTCATCCATCTGTTTGTCTTCCCCTAATCTCAAGAATAGAGTTAGATAGATGAAAGATGAGACCAGATATAGAAATCTTAGGAGTATGAGGCCCCGATTAACTATATACAAACTTATGATGAAAATCAGAAGTCATGTTATTTCAGTTCAAACATTTCCCTGATAGGTGTTAGATAGATGATCAGCACAACTCTAATTTGAAAGGAAAAGTATGATGTACAAGAGCAAGCCACTACTATTGGTAATTTGAGGTAGAGAGCATATATTTTAAATTAAATAAATTAAAAATATGATTAAAAATTGCAGCCTAGCATTGTGACAATTCACAATAAATAATTGTTCATTGCATTTGTGTTCTACTTATTAAAGTTTATTAACATTGATAGACAGTGCTCTTAAATTTTAACTATTAAGAATTACTTAGTATGAGAAAATAATTATTTCTCTCATAGTTTATAGATTTTGTTATAAGTTATAATACATTTATACATTTACTAGCTGACCCCACCACACGTTGTTGTGGCTCAAAATGTATCTATTATAAATGTATAACACTTCCCCTGTGGGAGGGGGAATTTTTTGAAAAATCCCTTCTTAGTGTACATTCTCTTGACATACCCTATTAAAACGCAAAAAACCGCATCTAAAATAGTATAAATAGAAGCAGAGTTCTTCACGGTAAGCCTTAATCCTGTCCATCTCCCCCAGTGGGGGGAATTTCGACATGTATATTATTTAAAAACATGTGCATTCTTTGTGTCAAAATTTCAAAGGAATCGGTAGGAACAAACAAACATTACACTTTTATTTATATAGATAGATAGATGATGATCTGCTTTAGTTTATTCTCACAGAAAAGCATAATGCTTCACAGAAAAGCAAACTTAGGTTGTTGTACTCGTAGTGCCATCTGTTGGACATAAAAGCCTTAATCCTAGATGATATCTTTTAATTTATATGAATGTTTAACGGAATAATATACAGCTATGTCCACCCTGAAGTTCCATTCTAAATATTGGTGAAAGAACTTTTGAAATTGGATGAGTAGTTTTGGAGATTACCCCTACATACAAACTCTTTATAATATTAATATAGATTATAATTGTAATTTGAGACTTTCAACAAGGAACCAAAGATTGTTACTGTGTTGCTGGTCATATGAGTGAACTTTAAAGACAGAAATACTGACAATACATTTTTAATATTTGAATTATATATTTGATAAGCTTGTTTATGACTTAACAGAACATTAATCATAGATTTCAAGTTGTATTTGTAATATGGTAAAGTAAAATCTCAATTTTTATTTAAAATTCCAATATTATCTACCTTTTAAAATCCAGATATTATCCTTATTAATTGTGAAATAAAGAAAAATTAACCCCTTATAAATTATCATTACCATAAATATATAATAATACCTTTAATATTTAATATCTTACCATATATATATATATATATATAATAACACCAATTGGAATGTTCATTATGCTGCACATAACAAGATTAATGATATAAACTTGAGCTGATATGTTAAAAATTATATAATTTAATTCAATATGCTTATATTGAAAAGTAAAAATTATTTTATTGGTGTGTTTTTTGAAAAAATGAAACAAATTAAAATAAAATATTAATTTTAGCAATACTGCAGATTGATTATTGGATGTCCTGTACTTATTTAACCCTAAATACAAATAGAATTTGAAAATACAAAGAATCCAATTAAAACTATTAATAGAAAATATCAGAACCTAGATAAGAATTGAATCCAAATCCTTCATAGCAATTGTAAATTCCTTATCCATAATCATTTTCAATACAGTAGAATCCAGATTATCTGATCCAAATGTGCTCAATAGTTTTGTGAGATTAACAAAAATGTCGATTATTCAACATTTTGCTAATCTCCTGTTGTTGGAAATAGTGAGTTAGAAGTGGAACAAATTGTAAATTTAATAGAAGACCAGTGTATAAAATCAATTCTTTCAATTGAATAATTATTTTCTCTTTCAATTGTCATGCTTCTCAAACAATTAAATTACATTAAGGAAAAAAAAAATACAATAAAACTACGAAATTTACACAAACATAAATCGTTAGCACATGCAATATATGATGTATTAACAAACAATAAATATGTATGTGCAATATAACACTGTAAATGTTATATTGCACATACATGAAAATGTTGGATAAAGTTAGGTAACCAAAAGTCAGATTATCAAAACTCATTGTACTGCAAGTTATACTAGCCAAGAAAACTCATACTTAATTTTACTTTTTAACTTTTCATATTTGTTTTTATAATATAACTGATAATCACATTGAAATGCATTATAGAAAACTAGATTTTTCTATTAATTAACTAAAAAAGTTATTTCTTTTAATTTGTTTCTAGTGAAATTATGAAGTTTCTTTTAAGTTTTAAAAATATAATGAATTATAACATTAAATTAAATTTTACTTCTAAAAGTTTATTATAAATGAAATTTCTTAAGATATTTTTACTTTTCTTTTTATTTATTTTGTAATTTTTCTAATAGATTGTGAATGAAATGGATGGTAACAAAAATGTTAAGGAGCTTTTGTTATCTGCCATATATCAATGTAAGAATATCTTACATAAATAATAATATCTGTAAATTAAAGTAATTGACAAATTAAATGAATTTATATAAATAAGTTCTTTTGTTGCAATCTATTTTAATTTTGAATACTTTTTTTATGCAGCAAACCAGCTTTCCGTTCTTCTCAATAATACCCTACAAGTTACCGAAGAAGATACCATAAGTGCATCTAGTCCAGAAGGTATGTATTATTATAATTACTATTGCTTTCAAAAATACAAAAATAAATAATAATAATAATAATAATACTGTGCTTTTTCCATGTGAAACTTTAGTTTTAAATTTATATAAAATATTTAGGGATGTCTCAAGCAAGAACAAGAAAAAAAATGGGTATGCATGGGATGTGTCCTGAAAAATTACTATCCATATCAATGGCTTTAAATAAATGTTTAACAGAATTACTGGTAAGAAAGTACATTAATCCTTTTAATATTTTATGATAATTTAATCTGCATAAAGCAAAAACTATATCAGTAATTAATATTACATTGAAAGCTTAACTTTTTAAATCAGTATTTTAAGAATTTAATTTTAATGGTCTAATTAAAACTTTTTTATTAGATCATTTTTTATGTAGTATTTTATAATTTCGATAATAAATCAAAAAATATATAGTTAATGTATTAAATTTCAATAATAGTTAATCTGTGTGTGAGAATTATCAAGTTTTGGATACACTTTGTACTGTACTGTAATTAAAAGATAAATTTTTAATGTAAATTAAATATATTTTGTTCTTTAAAATTTCATATTTTATACTGTAATATTTGAGAAAGGGTTTTTTCATTAGCTGATTAAGGCAAACGTAGTATTTTATAATTTCGATAATAAATCAAAAAATATATAGTTAATGTATTAAATTTCAATAATAGTTAATCTGTGTGTGAGAATTATCAAGTTTTGGATACACTTTGTACTGTACTGTAATTAAAAGATAAATTTTTAATGTAAATTAAATATATTTTGTTCTTTAAAATTTCATATTTTATACTGTAATATTTGAGAAAGGGTTTTTTCATTAGCTGATTAAGGCAAACACCAGTGGCATGCCATGACATTTGGTGATAGGGAAGCTGAGTTTCTGTAAGAAGCTGACTTCCAGGGGCAATCAGTTAATTGTGTGTCAATGATGCTCTAGGGTCCATTCGTACGTGTGTGGTGGCGGAGGAGACAAAGACGACAAGTATCTGACAAAACCTATGTACAATATATTTTGCTTTACGATAATCAGCTGTTCGGACATCCTGGGCATCGATGTGGTTCTTTGATCGTCGATTGAAGGTGGCCCCGGGACAGTGGCATTGACAAGTCTGTAAGGCACAGGGAGACTTCGTCTGTTGGCGTCGGAGACATGGTCTAAGTCCTAAGTGGCACGGGTTACAGGTTGGCACAATAGACGAGAAACTGCTTTTTTTGCGTGCTGACACACAGCGTTTTGGTTATTCGGAACGATAACCAAGTGCGAGGTGTCCTCGATTGTCAGGGATTATATTAATCTCCATTCTTTCTTTCATCCATTTTGATTGGTCATTCTCCCTCAATCATGCTTCCCAAGTGGCTGGTTCCTTGTTGCTAAGTGTAACAAGACTCCTACCTGGAGCGCAAGAAAGGTCAAAATCAAAGATGAATTCGATCTTCCACCGATCATAAGACGACTTCCTTTTGCGATTTATAATTTCTGCATCTCAGTTTGATATAAACAATGGGTGTTTGACTACAGATGATTTTTTCGTGTTTTTTTAACTAATAAATTTTTCTCTAATTTAATTGTTTTTTCAAGCCTTTTGTTATGGTTCGGACCTGTCCAGAACCTCACATTTCCATAAAAATTTTAAACACTACTGGAAATGACAAAAATAAACAATTTATGTATTTTAGTTCTAAAATACAAATAATACATGCTTAATACAAATTGCTATGATACAAACAATGATAGAAAAACTTGTTTTTTAATGTTTTATAAACAAACTCTATTTGGTGATTTTTTTCCGCAAAGTAATTAATTACTTCATCATAAAAGTCACTGGTCGTCAACTCCATCAATGTATTTGAAAGCTCTTTTTCTATTGAAAGCAATGCTAGCGATGACAATTTTTCCTCCGACCAAGTGTTCCTGTGGTTGAAAAACTGTGCTCAACAGACGCACTGGTAGATGGTACCATAAAAATTAATTATATTAAATCATATACAGTACAGTAGAACCTCGAAAACTCGGCTCTCGATAACCCGGCACTCCGGATAACTTGGCCACACCCTGGCAGGGCAAAAAAATCCTTAGTTAATTAATTTTCATTATAGACAGCTTTATAAAAGTATAAAAGCTCTCATAAAGTATTTTTCTGAGGTCTGTCTTATCAGGTAAATTACTGTACACAGTGTATTCATGAATTTTCATTTTCATGTAGTAAAGGCTCTATGCCTTCATAAAGGACGTACTTTTCCTTTGTTTAAGGGTATTTGGGCAGTTTATTTTCTGTTATATTCTCAAGTAAACAATACATACAAGTAGAGTACAGTATTTTTGAGGAAACACTCATACTTATGTTTTTTAACCGCATTCCCAATAACCCGGCATTTTCACAAACTCGGCCACCCTTCGGTCCACATTAGGCTGAGTTTTCGAGGTTCTACTGTAGTACCTCAGGATACAAAATTAATCCGTTCCTAAACTGAGATCATATCATGAAAATGTCGTAAGGTGAATCATTTTCCTCCATATGATTACATGTAAAACCAAATAATCCATTCCAACACGAAAAACACACTCAAATTAAAGCTAAGTAGTACATTGAAAAAAAAAAACTTTAGTAAGGAAAACACTGAAAAATGTGTTTTGTATATAAGACTCACCAAATAAACCATATCCAGTTTATAAGCAAATAGAAAAATTCTTTCTACGAACTTTCTACGTTTGTAGAAAGAATTTTTCTGTTTGCTTATGAACTGGATATGGTTTATTTGGTGAGTCTTATATAATTAATGTGTTTTGTAGTTGTAAATGTATAAATAACCATAATAGAATAATAATTGATAAAAAAATGTAGTTTTATTTGCACTTTACCTTTGAGGGTAGACGACAGTGGAGTGTAAACTGGTGGCGGAGGAGAGGGAGAAGGGAAATGATACTAAAACTTAACTTACATAATATTATGTAACAATAACTTAAAAATAACTTTACACTAATTTTTTTATCTTTTCTGTTTTATATATTTTTTAAAATTTTTTATTCACTGCTTTTTGTTTTCTTTCCTTCATTTCCACTAGCACTTTCACTGGATAGCAGTCACTTGGTAAAATATTTATCCAAAGAGATTTGGCTTTGCCTACTTTTTAAAATGTTTCTAAAATGACTTAGGCAAATGTCATTAAACTGAGCAGCAATACGGCCAGTGTGAACCTTTTTTTGGGATGTTTCTTTTCAATAAAATCAGTCACTTTCTGATAATATCTCAAGATTTCCTTTATCGAGTGATATCCTTCCACGACAAAGCAAACATGCGGATTGAGATTGATGAACAGAAGGAACACATGATCATGGTGGTGGTGCTGCAAACTAATGTAACATCATATGGTGAGTTTTTGTTCAGATCATGGAGCAAAAATATGTTCAAATTTCATGTTGTATCCTGAAAATTTTGTATACTGAAGCGTTCGTATCCTGACGTACTACTGTAATTCTTTTAGTACATCTTTGTTCGGATCTTCATTAATTATAATACTTTTTATGTCTAAGAGTTACTTGTCAATATAGTCTGGACACAAATATAAATATTGCGATTCACTACGTAATTTAGATAAATCAAAAAATTTCCCATAAAATTTACTTAATTTAAAGAATTAAAACTCACTTGGGAAAACTGTTTTTTGTAATATTGAAAATTATTAACATCTAAAAGTGATGAAAATTCTAAAGATTTTATGTCTGAAAATCTGTCAATATAATTATAATTAAAAGAAAATTATAATTAAATATAACTTTGCAAAGAAACATACATAAAAATAACAAAATATTCTTTACTTTTTAAATCTTAAAACAATTCACTTTGTCAAATAGTTCCCTACCAGTGGCTAAGGGATAGAATCATTGGAAGCGTTATGGTGTGTAGCATTTGCCTCCGGCAAATGCTACATACCATAACGCTTTCAATGATTAAAATGATTCCAATGATCCAAATGCTACACACCATAACGCTTCTGTGCTGTGTAAAGCGTGTGCGCCAATGCCAGTAAATTGGCTGCTTTACACCATTCAAATATTTTTGCCCTGGAAGCTGACAATACAGTGCCTACATTGGGAATATGCATACACAAATTAGATTCAAATATACAATAGCGATCTTATTGTTGTTTTTCACAGATATTTCATTATTATTATACTGGATTATATATTTTATTACAGATTTCTATATGAAATCTGTAATAAAATACATAATGCAGTTATAATAAAATATTAATTTTAAGTAATTCGAAGTACATTCAAATATGAAAATAATCATGCAATATGTATTTATATTTTAGAAAATACAAGGAAAATGGCACTTCCACAGCTTCCAATGATGGTATGCCACTGGCAAACACCAACAAAAAAGAAACATGTGCAGTAGACGATAGAAAATGAATTTATTTATGTGTGATAATAATATGCAAAGCATGTAATGCCGAATGTTGTAACTGCCATTTTTCTCTGAATATGTTTTATTGAAGAATTGAATTCTGAACACAGTTATAATTATTTGCTTTTAGTCCTATATTGCAATAAATCTTCTTAATAGCTATATGTAATTTGCTATAAATTTTACAGACTTAACACTCCACAGTTTTCAATTGGAAAGTTCACTGAGATTTTATAAAGCCAAATTGGTTTATTAAAATCTCTGTAAACTTTCCAATTGAAAACTGTGGAGTGTTAAGTCTGTAAAATTTATAGCAAATTACATATAGCTATTAAGAAGATTTATTCTAAACAATGTTTTCTGCTGAAAAAAAACAGTGGCAATAGTGGCACTGTAAGTGGCTATATTTTGAAATTAAATTTATGTGAAGCTATAATGTTTAAAGTACCAAAGTATAAGTGATGTGACTTTGGGCACTTAAACATTACAGCTTATATTTACATCATTTTGATATTCCAGAGAATTTGTAACCTAGTGAGTTTTTTACCATTTTATTGTAAAATTGAAATTAATTTATTCACTAAAAACAGTGTTTTTTGTTTCTCCTGAAAAGTTTTTTTTGGCATTTACAACATTATGGCATTGCACACTTCTTACAGGTTCACATGGATTTCAACTCTAAGGTGGTTTATCCGGCAGTCACCCTAAACCTGATAGTCAGCAGGACAATTACAAAAATATTGCAATTCATACAAAACTGTTGAGAATACTTATTACAAAAAGATCTCCTTATCAATAATCCTTAATACTAACTAAGAAAGTAAAGTTGAAGATAGAGGCAAGAGGTAGGAAAGAGGGCAGATGTGACAGAATAAAAGTACTCAAGTCATAGAATGTATTTCTGTTGTCATGAGGGCCACATGGAAGTTTCTTACATATAATACACACTTCCATCTTTTTCTAGAGTCTTGAAGGTTTTTACTTGTATCCAAATTGCAGGTTACTTATTCAAAACTTGCAGCTGGTCAAGTTGAATGCTGACCTTAGCACACTATCTTTGGCCCAGGAATTTCAAAGTTCCTACTTAAAGTTATGACTTTACCCATATACTTGGGCACCAGACATTGTAACGTCTCTTTTTTTGTCATCCTCTCCCTTCGGTACCAGTTCAAAAGTGTACCCTTTGCCTTGTATGCCTTCAGGTAGCCTTGTATTCATTACGCATTATGGTGATTCTAGGAATTGGCTCTCACTTCCAAGAAAAAATTAAGGAGATTAGAAAGTTCTAGAAGGTAGAAAGAACAAAGAACAGGTGAAAAATGTATGAAGGACAAAACAGACAATATGGATAACAGCCACAATACATTGTTTATTCTTGTTTACTGTTTAATCAAATGATCAAGTGAAAGAACTTAAAAATGGTATGAGGAGTGTGACAACTCTGTGAGTCAGAATTAACAATACTATGAGTCTGTGGTGCAACAAGCAAAGCCATCTCACACTACTTCTATGTTGTTTGATCATCTGGTATAATCAACAATAATAAATCATATACCTTAATATAATACGTTGTAGTTAGCAGATACATATTTATATAATTTTATCATAAAATTTAGAATTCTTCTCCATATTTGAATATTTTTAAGCAAGTTTTTCATTGGATTTTTCTAAATAATTAAATTTAGATTTAAATAAATGTGCAAAATATGTACAGATCTTAAATAAATGATTTTTTATAAGAATTTTTAAAATAAATTAACTGTTTAATTTTTAAATATTTTAAAATTTATTTCAGTCAGTAATTACAGAACATGAGGAAGAAAGGAAGCAATTAAAAACTGAACTAAAAAATTCAAAAGAACAAATTCATCTTTTACACGAAACGCATCGCAATTGTTCGCTGCAGTCTTCTCTGAATACTCAAAACAGATCAAATATTGGAAGTCTTTTTCCCACTACTGAATGTTGCTGTAATATTAATGTTAACCAGTTTCCTACAAATGGTAAGAATTTTAATTAGTTATAATTTATTATGAAAAATACTGATGAAAATATATATTCTATCAACATTCCTTTTGTATCTTGACTATTATTTCTATGAGAGCTTCTATTACTTTTGCTGTTTTTTAATTTGGATCTCCCTCTCCTTTTATTTCTCTATTTCTTTCAGTTGGGATCAACTTCTGCATTTTCTAATCTTCCTTTTCTTTGATTTTCCCTTTCTGTCTTATTAAAAAAATATGGTTTTTCATTTAAATTCTTACTTTTTTATATAAAACTATATAATTGTTTATGAAACAAATATATGTCCGAATTCATTAATTCCTAAACTCTATTCTGCATAATTCATGCCTGCTATCAATTCAGACAGTCTGAAATTGTTTTGAAAATCTTTTTGTAAACCACTTTAATAATAATACTGAATATTTTATTCAACTTTATGTGGTTCATAGCATAATTTGTCATATTTTATAATTTTTTTCTATCCAGTGTAATTAGAAGAAATATTTTTTATTAACCATATTCCACTCCTAAAAATTGGTTGTATGAATGTTACCTCAAACTTCAAATAGTACTGGTTTAAACTATTTCATATATTTTTGAAAAGTACTGTTGATGAAGTAAAGAATTCTTTAAAAACATATCTGTTTTAAGCATTTTTCATAATTTTTAAAGATAAATTAATGCAACAGTTAATTAATTACTTGCAAGTATCTATTATTGTAGAGATTCAATTTTTTGAATTATGGACTTAATAATTATTGTGTTTTAAGTTGGAGAATCTTCTTCTGATTCCTTTTCCATGTCAGCCAACTGCATTGTGAATCTGGCTCATTTAAAATAGGCACGAGTGCAAGTCATGTTACCCACAGTGTACTGAATATTAACTTCTTAACTTCTACAGAAACTGCACTTGTATAACTATCAACACTACTACCATGAAATGCAGTAAAAATTTCTTGCCTCTCAGTCTTAAATGTAATTTCCTGAAGAAGTTTGTTTAAGACAATTAAAAATGTTTGATAATAAAGAAATTTTTACTGTATTTCATGGTTGTAGGGTTATAGTTGTACTACATATTATCTGTCAAACAGTAATAACAATAATAAGTACTATTGTAAGGAACCAAGTCTGAGCTTTATTTTTATTTTACTTTTATTTTGCTTTCATTATATTTTGTTTGGGGCTTATGTTTATTTAAGACGAAGGTTTCCTCACCATTCACCTTAGTAACTTAAAAATAGAAGAAAAACCAACTCACCGACGAAAGAAAAGCGCCGTAGAAAAACTCGCGCACACTTGCGCTTCCCAAGCGGAAAAAGTAAGTCCGCACCGAGAAAAAGGGGGGGGAGACCCCACAACCCAGTTAGGAATCGCTAAACCTTAAAATGATAAAGCATCCCGATAATTGTTAAAAAGAATAATGTAAAAGGTTAGCGAAGTATTGTCGGAAAATAATCTGCCAGATAAACAAGAAAAAGTTAATGTTACAGATAAGTATGTAAATGAGGAGAGTGAGCTCATTCAGAATTGTGACGTCACCTCACACTATAAAGCCTCTAACTCAAGTGAAAACGAACGAGGTGAATTCCTGATAGCAACGAGCTTATAGCAGTGAACGAGAGAGAGGTGTCCGATAGGATTTTGAAGTTATTCGATTTGTGGATCGACGGTTATAGAAAGTCTTGAGAGTTTGAGGAAATAGGTTCCTAGTATATTGAGGTGACGATTAGGATCTTTAATTTATAAGAATTATTGTTTATAAGTTAATTCTTTGATTTTGTCGAATTCCAAAGGGGAATAGAATTAAGTTAGAAATAGATTGATTTGAGTTTGTCGGATTGATTCTTGTTGAGTTCCATTGAATAAATTATTGTTTGATTTTTACTAAATACTGTATAGAATTTATTAATAGAAGTTTAATTAAATATTTGATTTTGTTATTGACAAACTTTGTCATTATTTAATTCGGTGCACGCTTAAAGTCCAGGCCTGGCACACTAACGCGAATCCGCGTAAAGTACCCGTTAGGGAACGGCTATTTCCGGCACACAGTAGTGTCGATAATCGTTGGAAAAGTCGGAAAAATAATATAGTACTTTACACTATTTATGGTTTATTTGCATTATTATTTTGATTAATATTACATGGTGTGTCTAAAGAGTTTGGTGAATGTTAGGATATCTTGAATGCGATAGATGCCACAAGTTTAAGCATGCCATGTGGATATCCAGGGAATGTTCATCACACTAGAAGGCAAGTCCATCTGGACTTGCCTTCTAGTGTGGAATATGGGTGACTGCAAGTGGGCTTCTGTCACAGTCATTCGAGCACAGTCTGTGCTAGAGGTGGCATCAAAGTGCAATGGAACAACAACACAACATGAAGTTATGCATCAAATTGGGGAAAATGGTGATAGAGATGCATGAAATGTTGATCATAGTGATCTTGCATCCATAGACTTGTTCTTCTTTCCTCTCGTCAAAGAGGTAATTAAGGGATCAAAGTTTACTGATGTCTCTGCAATTCAGACCCATGTGACAGCACTTTTTTAAGGCATTTCCCAAACAAAAATTTTTCAATTGTTTCTAAAAGCTTTATGAATGTTATAATAACCTATAGTGAGATCTGTTTCACAGAGCGTATTTTGAAGGCCAATAAAAGTAACTCCTATATATCTTCTGTTTTATTGTTTTTATTCTAATATTCACCAAACTTTTCAGACACATCATGTACTTATCTAACACTAGCAGACTCCGCCACGCATTGTTGTGGCTCAAAATGTATCTATTATAAATGTATAACACTTCCCTCGGGGGAATTTTTCGAAAAATTCCTTCTTAGTGTACATTCTCTTGACGTACCCTATTAAAACCGCATCTAAAATAGTATAATAGAAGCCAAGTTCTTCACGGTAAGCCTTAATCCTGTCCATATCCCCCCATGGGGGGAATTTCGACATGTATATTATATAAAAACACGTGCGTATTCGAATGCAACGTTATGTCAAAATTTCAAAGGAATCGGTAGGAACAAACGAACACTACATTTTTTTTTATATAGATACCGTGTTTCCCTGAAAATAAGACCTAGCATAGGTTTTGCTGAATTGCTAAATATAAGGCCTCCCCTGAAAGTAAGACCTAGCAAAGTTTTTTTATACTCGTAACGGTCATCGACAGATGGTTGAAAGTGGCCTTTGGCTTTTTGAAAGTACAGTCACTGATTGGCCAGCAGACAATCACGCCACACTGCATGATTTGCATAAAACTATGGCATGGGTATCACAGATTTGCATAATGTTACGGCTGGTGATGGCTAATTGGTCGACCGGGAATCACGCCACATCATATTTGCATAGTGCTATGGTTCAATAAGCACTAATTGTTCATCGAGCCCGATGTCGACGCTATAAAAAGGTTAAGTTGAAGCGAGAGTGGGAAGTCACTCCAGCACGGGAACTTCGTAAGTTCACTGCTGAGGCCTGATTGTAAGGCAATCAATGGCTTAGCCTGGTCTTTGGATCGGGCGATGAGGGCTGTTTTTGTGAATGGTCGCTACTTGCTTGGGACTTGTCTCCCATCCATTAGGGGTGCTGTATAGGAGTAGTCGTACCGGATTCCAGATCGGTTTTACCGGTTGAGGCATTCAATAAACTTTATCGACGTCGGTTTTATTTAAGTTTAGTTCGACACGACCGGATATACGTCACTCTCGTCTAAGTTCGACTTGGGAATTTTTTTGGTCAATAATAAATATGAATTCTTCTTCATGGAAAAAATAAGACATCCCCTGAAAATAAGACCTAGCGCATCTTTCAGAGCAAAAATTAATATAAGACACTGTCTTATTTTCGGGGAAACACGGTAGATAGAAGATGATCTGCTTTAGTTCATCTTCACAGAAAAGCATAATGCCTGACAGAAAAGCAAACTTAGGTTGTCGTACTTGTAGCGCCATCTGTTGGACATAAAAGCCTTAATCCTAGATGATATATTTTAATTTATATGAATGTTTAACGGAATAATATACAACCTATGTTCACTCTGAAGTTCCATTCTAAATATTGGTGAAAGAATTTTTGAAATCGGATGAGTAGTTTCGGAGGTTACCCCTACATACAAACTTACAAACATTATCTCTTTATAATAATAGTATAGATATTAAATAAACTTTTTATTAAAGTGTTGCTCTTTTCTCATTATTTAGAACAGTATTGCCACTGTAAAGAAGATAAAGACAGAAAACCAATTAGCGAAGAGAATATTTATATGCAAGGTTTGCCTAGTTCTACAGACGATTCAACGAATACGTCTATAGACCATCCTGTTAATACCAATTCGTGATATCATAAATCGAACAAAAAAATCTGAACGACACAAATTAATTTGAGATGTTAACGATGGGTCTTCCTTCTTTTTAACATCGTAATTGTAATTATTATTATATTCCCATCCAGTAAGGGAATTCATATTGTAAAAAATACATTGTAATATAAATATTTCGTAGTATGTATGATAGTCTAAAAAATTTATTTTTCATTTTTTTTTCAAAGATAGTTTAATAATAGTTCCTATTTGCTAATCTTTAGTATTTTAGTAACTCATGAAACACAGTTATGTAATATATCAATCGTAATTCTGTTCATATCTAATTTATTTGATTTTTTTTATAATTGTATAAATAGACTGTTTATATTTCTGCTTCTAGTCATATTCACAAATTAATTTTCAAATTATTCTATTAAATAATTGCTAAATTGACAAATGTACAAATAGCAAACATGATTGATTATTTTTGAATCAATGATATTGACTAATATCTACATTCTCTACATTTATACAGAACTTTATGCTTTTATTATAGATAAAAATAATTCTTTATTGTTAATACAATAAAGAAATGATAAGGATTTAAAAAATATACCAACCTGAAAATAATTGTATTACCTGAAAGTGTAGTACAAAACTCTGTATGAGATATAAACTTGTTTCTCTATTTTATTGTTTATTTCTTAATTCACATATTTGAATATTTCAATTTTGACTGCACAATTTTAATAGAAGTTATTGAAATTACAAACAACATTAATCTTAAATTTTTATTTATAGGATGATTCAAAAGTCTCCATACAAAACACAAATTACTTGAAAGAATGCATTTATAATGTGTGTGCACATATATCATTAGATATGTTAACAGGAATCTGTCACAAGTGAGAATGCATTCAGTTAGATGATGCCCTCGCAGATCATATTCTGTGACTTATGAGTATCAGCTCTAGCCTTATCTGCAATGTGTGCGAGAGGTTTCAGCATACCCCTCGGCTTGCTAATTGATGTATAAATCAATTAGCAAAATTTTGTGTCCATTTTCTTGTGGCACCCGTGCAGCCACACAGTTTGATTGTACTGTATTTAGAGCTGGCAGTCTTGTAATAAATGAACCATTTTCATATATATGAAGACTTTTGAATCACCCTATGTTATATATATATATCAAATATTCTTTTTTCTTAAGATATTTGTAATTTATACACATGGAGAAGTTTGTTCGCCACTTGTTTCTCATAGTAGAAGCCTTTTTTAAAGTCATGTAGATTATATGCATGCATGATAAAACAAAAAAAAACTATGATTATTATGCAAGAAATCATGTCTAATTTGATAATAAAAATCATTATAATTTGGGTGATAGAATATACCCCATTGTGATGAATGAAATGTTTTCAATCAAGTTTTTTAATATCATATATTATTTTTTTTCTCTTTTTGTTAATGTTGTTAATGCTTTATATTTAATTTTGATATTAATATAAAGCATATTCTTATACAAAATATGTTGTTTGATATATCATTTCTGGGTACTCCAATTGTGATAAGAAAAAAAAAACAAAATATTTTTCCATGTAGTTAGTTATATATAAATTAATTGTTGATGAGAATTCTGGTCGAAAACCTAGTTTTTATTTTCAATTTATTTCAATGATTCCCATGTAAATTCCTTTATTATATATATATATATATACAAATTGTAAATATTCTAAAGCAAAATACTCAGGAGTTGCACTTATTCTTTGGATCTAATATCAGGTATGGAGTTACAACCCTTTGATAAGGAGATTACTGATCATTAAAATCATATATCCAAATATTCCCTAGAGTAATTTACTCTTCTTAATCTATAATATTTTGAAATAATTATCAAAAGAATTAAATTGTACTGAAGGTAGTGCCAAGAAATCAAATTATGAATCATACAATAATTATTAAATGAAGCAAAATATTTATTAAAAAAAAATTAATAAAAATAGTAATAGATAAAAATGTTTCAAAGTATTTTTAATTTCTAAGTCAAATAAAAATTAAAAAAAAATCTTTGAAATATTTTAATTAATTTACACTATTTAAAATTAATGTAAAGAATAAAAAGGAAAAGAATTTTGTTGAAAATACAGAAAAAAGATAAAATAAATATTATTAAAAATTAAAATATTTGAATTAATTTAGTGCTTTTCTTTAATTTTAGTTTCTTTTCTGTAATACAGAGCGAATCCTCTAATAATAGCAACCTCAAAACAACGGCCATTTTTTTCAGGAACTTTTTAAAAACAAAAATGCATGAAAAACATAATAAATGTAAGCAATTAGCATAAATATTTTTGTGTTTGCCTTGATTTATAATTATTAATATACGGTAGTCCTGTAATTTATAGGCATTTTTTAAGATGTTTCTCATAAGTATTAAAATATTACCAGAATAAAAAAAACTGTTAGCGTATCGCCAATAGCTTGGCATCTAGTGATAAATGTTCAGAGCTGGGCCCCAGTGACGTGCCGTCATTGGAAGCGGTGGAAGCGCCGCTTCCCTTGTATTTTCTAAAAAATAAATAAATATTGTGCGATTATTTTCATATAATTAAAATTAATATTTTATTATAACCGCATTATTACAAATTTCTACACTATATGTGAAAAAAACGATAAGATCGCTATTGTATATTCGATTATCAGTGGCGGAATAGAAGCGGTGTATTTTCAGCTTCCAAACAGCCTGATTACACTCATTCGCGGATGCGCTTTACAGAGCACCAACCTCACCCGGTTTAGCTAAGGCCCTTTAGAATAATCCTAAACTTTAATTGAAAACTTTAATTAAAAACTCATGATTTGTTATTAAATAATTGTTGAATATAGTTACAAATATAACTAATCCGGTTATGCCTATGCGGTACCGGAAATGTACGTTTTATATGTACCTAAATAAAAGATTGTGTGTGTGGTTTAGCTAAGGCGCTAGAAGTTTAAAAAAAAATCCATTAAAATATTTGATATTTTTATTCTGCTCCCCAATCTTATATTACTTACGGATTTCAATGTTAAACCAATGATATTACGATTTCGTATGTCCCATCTTTAAGGGAATGCAGAAAAAAACGTGTACAATGTTAAAAAATTAACTGTTACTTTGGTAGCATCATTTACAACTAAATTTAATGAATCGGAGAGATGCATGAGGTATAGAAAAAGCTCTAGAATTTATTTTCCTTAAATTTACGATTTATGTATTGGTTGCCATAAAAATTTGTCTTTCCACTTTTTCCCGAGACTACAAATATTCAAGTACAAAGTAACCGGTTTCAACTTATATCTCTACTTAAGAAGTAGTTAAATAATTAAGAGATTAGGGAATTAGGGACATAAATGAAACCCTGCTGAAAGTGCAGGAATTTTACTTAATTAATTAAAGAGAAGCTTACCGAACCAATCTCTAGCCGAGTATAGTGTGGACTGATTTCTTCGTATTATTAATGTAATAAAGACAGAAATTATTCCAGTTCAACGAGAGTGACCGAAAAGTTGTAAATTTTGGAAATTTCCGTGGATTCTGGTCCTAAAACGAATTAGTTAGAAAACAAATGATGGACAATCTATTAAGTTTAACATATTTAGATTTTTATAGCTGTGGTGAGAAACGTTTAAAATATACAACTACCCTGTCGCGTCCTTTGAGGTATACTAGTGATGCGAGAAAAGAGACATTTGACATTGACCGGTATAGGCACCCTCGGGATTTGGCAGCCCGCGTGCATGCACCTACCAGGACCGTCTCTGATTCCATCAATTAGTCACTCGTAGGGAGCTATTTGACTAAGTGGATTGTTTTAAGATTTTATGTACGTTTCTTTACAAAGCTATATTTAATTATAATTTTCTTTAAAAGTATATTCACAAATTGAAGAATATTTTGTACCAGGTATACTGTACATCCACCACACATTTTATTTCACCAAGTAAATTTTTATTATTTTATTTATAATTTTAGCCCTTGTATCGTGGCTAGCGATTCAGAATGTAATTGTGATATTAAAAATACATTTAGAGAAGTCTACGGTTTTTACTGGCTTATCGAACAAAACTATACGAATGGACCCTAGACATTCGCTGACGCGCAATTAACTGATTGTCCCTGGAAGTCGGCTTCTTACTGAAACACAGCTTCCCTATAATCAAATGTCACGGCACGCCACTGGAGCTGGCAACATTGCCTTGTTTCCCCAGATTAAAGAGAGACTGTGCTGTTCCCGCTGTTTAGATCAGGGAGGAGGAACGAGAATTACAGCCAATACTGGCGCTGCTATTGTTAGTAATATTTGTTCGTTAAGTCGGATATATTGAGCCAGCAAGGATGTAAACGGGAGACGGACGAAACTTCTACACGTCTTTACCCCACGAAGACTACAGACGCACAACACTTACAGGGGGACACACATGTTACATAAGGGACACACATGTTACATAAGGGACACACATGTTACATTAGTAGTAATAACTTAGAGGGTCATTGTCAACTAGAACAAACAAACAGTGCCCTCGTATGTCACACTATACCTGTCAGAGGACCAGGAGATAAACATTTTCACACGTAACAGCCACATTCCTAACAGCTATGTGCCATCATATTGTGGCAGCCATAGGATAGTGCTATAAACAAATGCGTTTCACTGCTCACCTGTAAAATTCCCGATGTCTTCTGTACGTCCGGTTGACTGGCCTTCCTTAATCTCGAGAACAAAGTTAGATAAACGAAAGACGAGACCAGATATGGAAACTTTAGGGGCAGCGGGAGACCCCGACTAACTATATACGAATTTTATGTTATCTCAATTTAAAAATTTTCTCTTAAATAGATGACGGGCACGACTCTATTGTGAAAGGTAAAGTATGATGTACTGTACAGGGACAAGCCACTACTGGTTTGAGGTGGAGAGCGTATATTTAAATTAAATAAATAAAAAAAATGTAGCCCGGCATTGTGACGATGTGACAATAAAAGAATTGCTCGTATAATTTTTACATTGTTTATTATTTATATTACATATATGTAATCAGATGCATTATAATTGTTTTAACTTTTTCTGCCCTGTGCCCTAAGAGGGTCTCTTTTAGCAAGCCCATTATGAGTCCGGCCAGTCCCACAATGGAGCGACCGGGTGGTGAGGAGCGGGGTCCGATTATATCCGGACGGAACACTCGACTGGATTCGATCCCGGGTTCTCCAGACCTTAACCACTCGGCCATCCGGCCTGATGCATTATAATGTCTTATTAAGTTAGTAAAATTGACTGATATTGTCAATGTGACAGGTGAGTTTTAATTAACTTTTTTTCCGTCGATTCCTGTCAATGTAATATCTACCGTTTTGAGAAGACCTGGGGCCGTATTCTGGCCATCGTCTCTCAGAGACCAGAGACGGTGTTTCCGTCACAAGCCGGTCGCTGATTGGCTAATCATTTGTTTACTTCTCGAAAGTCCATTGGGTCTCTCCAAACGCGATTCTGGACAACTTTTTCTCTGGAAGATTCTTTCCTCTTTCAGAGACAAGCGGATAGTTGTCTTTCGTCTTTTGCCTCTATTTCGTTATATCCAATATGGACGACTGGATGCTACTCGCCTTATACAACCGTAATAGGAACATTCTCTATCTCAGAAAAGAATATTTTGAGATAGATAATGCTTATGCGGCTACTTGGGAACGCCATTGACTTCATCTTTTTTTTTTTTTTTTTTTTTTAATGATCCTGCATCAATTTCTGAATTATTGATTATGCTGTTAACCTTATCCGTCTCTAAGTATTTTTCAAAATATTACCGTTCTAATTTCTCCCTAAATACGTACGCTTTTCTAACTTAGGTTAATAAAGTTTTTATTTGTTAATATAATAAATAAATATGAAAATTCAATGTAATGTATAAATATTTCCAAACGTTCGTCAATTACTCGAAAAAAATAAATATTTTAATTACTCATATTGTAACTTTGCCAATTAATGAATAGAACACAATATTGCTATTTTAAATTATATATTTAAATTAAATCGGGCATATTAATAAATAAAAAAATTTCAAATCAAATGTGATTGTTGAATTTAAACATATTAATCAGTCCTTAAATCTAAACATGAACAAAACTACAAAATATTTTCTCACTTATTTTTCTGTTTCTGGACTTGATTTATCTTCGTCTAAACTAGAATTGTCATCAGTTTTGATTTCTTTTAAAGCAGCTAATTCATTTAACATTTGCTTTTTGTAATTCATATTTTTCTTTGTCGTATTGTTTGCTAAAAAGATAATTTTATCACTTAAATTTCATTCGTTTCTTTATTAAGTTACAATGTTGAGATTAAGTTTAAATAAAATATAGCAGAATTAAAACGATTCTCACGAGTTCAATTATATTGTCTATTTAAAATGTATACAATAGTGAAAAGTAGATATATCTCGAATATTAAATAGCCAATTAAGATTAAAAGTGCACAGAGTAGTAAAATAACTTATCGAAATTAATTTACAAAATGTAATTCAAGGTACTGTACAGTACGTAGACTACATATAATATACAAAGCATTGACAAACAAATTGACTACAATGCCGTACAGACAGTAAATATACATGACATTATCAATATAAATATAAATATCAACTCTAACACCGAATAAAACGTAATAATAGTGAATGTAATACTCTGAATAGAAACACTATGGTAATTTTTTGCATATACAGTAATTCAAAGTAAACTGTGACTAAAAGTCAATTTGAAAATAAGCGCATTCCGTTCGTTCTATGAAATTTTCTGCATTGTATCGAGGATGCAGAATATATCTTGTTGCATATTATAATCAAAATCGTAATACCCTATGTGTTTCATCTTATGTAGAAGAGATACGTTTATACTTGGAAATGATTCGTTTTTATTTATATTAAAAGAAGTCGTTTACTATCGAGAGAAGTGAGATCAATACAAGATATAAAA